GATTATGATGTTTGTTTGACGCGGATCCAAAGTTACTTCCCAGGAACGAAGGTGCTGCCTTTCTCCACAAGGGCACAAAGTCAAGTTGACAGACACGAATACTCCCGAAGACCGGTCCCAAACACCTTGCCTCCTACCCCCTGGCTCTTTTACTGAGTGCTGTGGGGGACGGTGGGGGCCGGGGGAGCTTGATGCACAGTCGCGGATGCTGTTTGGGCGAACTTGCTCCGGGCTGACCCGCTGAGGCTTCCTGGCAGCTGTCCCTGTCACAGGGTGAGGGCCCACAGCACCGGGGAGGCACACGTAAGCCCAGCGCCCGACGGCTGCTCTTTTTCTAGTTCTCAGAAGAGCCCTTTCCGACCGTCCCCAGCTCCCTCGCCATCCCTGACCCCCTTCTGCTGCCCAGTGGCGGTGGGCATGGAGAGGCGACTTACAGGTCTGCTCTGATGTCAAGGGTCGCCTCCGACCTAGGAAGTCGGACACACCAGGTGGTAGGTCTGCCGTTGGATTCGGGGCTGGTACCGCGCAAGCAGGGCTGGGCTTGTTGACACACGCTCCACTGACGGATTCTCAGCGGCTTAGGCAGAAGGTTCTTGAAGTTCAATACATTCAAATGAAAAGCAAGCATGAAAATTCACACCCTCAGATTGCATTAGACATGCCTAGATCATGTTCTTTCTCTGAGTCGCGAGGAATAAAAGGCAAGGCTAACCAAGTTCGGGCACATCGGAACCTTCTTCCCTGCTCCCCTCACCTTCCTCCCCGCCCTGGTTTCCCCAAATGAGACGCAAAGACTTCTCTTAAAAGTTGTGTGTGTGTGGGGGGGGTGGCGCCTGGTTAAGCGTCTGACTTCGGCTCAGGTCATGATCTCATGGCTTATGATTTCAAGCCCACGTTGGGCTCTGTGCTGACAGCTCGGGGCCTGGAGCCTGCCTCAGGTTCTGTGTCTCCCGCTCTCTCCACCCCTCCTCCACTCGCACTCTGTCTCTGTCCCTCAAAAAATCAATAAAAACGTTTAAAAAAGAAGCTGTAGGATTCGGGGGCACTGGATGGCTCAGTCGGTTGAACATCTGACTTCAGCTCAGGTCTTGATCTCACAGCTCGTGAGTTTGAGCACCGAGGCAGGGTCACTGCTGTAAGCAGAGTCTTTTTCAGATCCTCTGTCCCCCCTCTCTGCCCTTCTCTCTGCTCATGCTCTCTCTCTCTGTCTCTCAAAAATAAAATAAACATTTAAGAATATATATACATTAAGAAAAAGTTAGGGGCGGGGCGCCTGGGTGGTTTAGTCGGTTAAGCGTCCAACTTTCGCTTAGGTCATGATCTCGCGGTTCGTGGGTTCGAGCCCCGCGTCGGGCTCTGTGCTGACTGCCAGCTCAGAGCCTGGAGCCTGTTTCGGAGTCTGTGACTCCCTCTCTCTCTGACCCTCCCCTGCTCACGCTGTCTCTCTCTCTCCTAGAAATAAATTAAAAAACATTTAAAAAAAAAAAAAAGAAGAAGTTAGGGGCGCTTGGGTGGCTCAGCAGGTTTAGCGTCCAGCTTCGTCTCAGGTCATGATATCCTGGTTTGTGGGTTTGAGCCCCGCGTCGGGTTCTGTGCTGACAGCTCAGAGCCTGGAGCCTGCTTCAGATTCTTTGTGTGTCTCTCTCTCTGCCCGTCGACTGCTCATGCTCTCTCTCTCTCACTCAAAAGTAACATTAAAAAAAAGCTGTATGATTCACACGTGGAGAGGAAAAGGACCAGAGCATTTGCCAAATGATCTAGTCTGCAAAGAAACACGTCTCTGAATGGATCCTACTTTGAATCAGGCTTATTTTCTAAAGACGAGGATACCTCAGAGCTTTGGTACCGTCTTAGAAATTCAGTTTGTTACACATTTCAAAGTTGGGGGTGCCTCAGGGCTCTGGGAAACCATTCATGAATCCTAGAGGTTTGAAGCTTTACTAAAGCTCATGCAAATTTATCTTGCAGAAAATCTTGGCCGATCAAAGTTAACATACATCAGTTTTATCTCAGCTCCTATTAGCATAATGAATAAATATTTACACAGCAACATATTTTTAAACTTTGTTAGCTTTTCATGAAATACCTAACAGAATGCCAGAATCAACTTCTAAATTAACTTTAAAACGTGGGGTCTGAGTCCATTTTGATGGGAACTCTTTCTAAATAAAATACTGTATAGGAATATTGTGACAATGTCCATTTCCTGGTTTTGATAATGGACTATAATTTTGTCAGATGTTATCTTTGGGGGAATACGGGTAATGGGTCCAGGGCATCTTTCTGTACAAGTTTGGAACTTCCTGTGAGTCTATAATTACTACAGAATAAAACATGAACAAACTATGTATGAAATAACCATGCTAGGAGCTTATTTTTAAGAAAACGTCTCCATGTACCTCGAAACTACAAATTAGGCGATGAAGTTAAGAACTGAAATGGAGTATAGCTTAATGTGTACTTTGATACTTGAGCCAGTAGACAGAGGGATTCAGCTCTCTTGTCTCCAACTATGAGATGTTCTAGAAAAAACTGTCGGCCTCTTTTTTGGGAACAGGGCCCCTGGCAGTGAAGAGACATCCTCTTAAAAGATGGTTCTTTTCCTGACATACTTAAGATACCTCTAGAGACCTAGAGAGAACTAAGCGACACATCAACAAGATGAAACTTCTATTAGCACGTAGGTGGCATTTAAGAACAGACCGACGACCTGCGATCGATTCTTGCAGCCCGGGAAGACTTCACAGTATGACCCGCACTTTGAGTTGACTTACAAACGAGTCCTCCTGACCTTAGTGTCTGCTCTCTGCCACGAGACAGTCCCTAATAATAAATCCCCGCAGGCGGTGTGTCGTGTGCCTGCTCGGGCACGGTCTCAGTCTTGGGTTGAGGGGCCAGCGAGGCTGGGGGACACGAAAGGGAGCCTTGGCAGCGGATGTCGGAGGTTGACCCGGGCCTGCTTTTCCTGATTTGGGGACAGCACTTTCCGAGGTAGTACCTGCCTGATAGCGTGTAGCAGGTGGCAGCTAACAGCTATCTCTTGGCCCTCCCCCCCCACAGTGTTGGGGGAGGGGGTCTCAGCAGCAGCAAAGTTAAGGAAAAACACGAAGCTTCAGAGGGAAGCAAATAATGGAACTAATTAAAGATCATCTTGACCATAATACAAGGTGATGGTGGGGGGGGAGCTGGAGAGAAAAGAGGCAAAAACGAAAAATGAGATGCAGGGAAAGATGAGCGGGAGTGCTCCGTTCACATCTCCCCTGACCGTCCCTGCACCCCTGGGAGCTGGAGGAGCTCGCGTGGGGGTGGGGGGCAGTGTGCCCTTGGGTTCCTCCCACCCGAGATGTCCAACCCCTGCTTCCACCTTGAAGGGTCTCTCAAAGCCAGTTTTCTCCGTCTCCCGTCCTGACACCTCCCCTTCCCGACACCCCTGGGTTTCCCTCGGCTCTCTGCACGCAACGGCTGTGGTCATCTTAGGACAAATCAGACCCGTCGCTCCCCTGCCTAGACCTGTGCGTGGTCGCCACCTTGCCCAGCGTCCATCTTCCTGCGGCTACTTCTGGCTTCTGGAAAACGCTGCACTCTTTCCCAGCCTTGGGATCTCACACAGCCTGGTTTCCTGGGCTCTTCCTCCCTGTTTGCTCCGCCTCCTGAAGCTTAACTTCCTTATCACGGGGGAGAGCAGGGCCCTCTGTGATGGGCAGGAGGTACTGCTTTACATCCAGGAGGGCAGGGGGCATGCCTCTCCCGCAGGGTCTAGCTGGGGGTGGTATTCCCCAACACGTGTCTGTTGCACCAACTCCCTGAGCCCATTTCGTCATCTGTAAAATGTCAGAAATAACACCTTTCAGGGCAATTACGAGTAACTCATGACCACAAAATCCATTCACATATTGGGCCCTCGCCGCATGCCAGCTGCTGTGGTTTACATGCAATTGTCACAGATCATTCCCCGTCGTGGGTATCGTGACTCTTCTCCCCACCCCCAATTTTATCCGAGAACAGAGATTTTAAAGAATATGTCCAGCACTGACTGGGGCACCTGGGGGCCTCAGTTGGTTAAGCATCCGACTTTGGCTCAGATCATGATCTGGTTCGTGAGTTCGAGCCCTGCATCGGGCTCCCTGCTGTCAGTGTGGAGCTTGCTTTGGACCCTTTGTGCCCCCCCCCCCCATCTTGCCCTTCCCCTGCTAGCGCTCTCAACAAGAAAGATTAGAATAAAAATAAAAAGAACCTGCCTAACACAGACAGAGGTGGAGGTGGCCTTCCAGCCCAGCTGAGGACATGACCTCCATGTCCTCACTCCTGACTGTGGAGAGGGTACCAAGTTCAGTCAAGGTCACGGGGAGCTTCACCATTGCCCAGTGGCCGAGGGGGTGGTAGGAGCATCTGGGTTTTGGCTGCAGGGCCCAGGGGAGAGGAGAACCAGGCCCAGAGCCCCACGGCACCACAGAGGGGGGGCCCCCCAGCACAGAGGCCAGCTTCCTCCTGCATCCAGAAGCTGCGAGAAGCAGGCCCATCCTCTTTGTGAGAGGCCAGGGCAGGCTGGGGTTCCGATGGTGGCCTGACACCAAGCAAGAAGCAGAGCCTCCTGAGGCCCCCACCCCCGCCCCCCGCAACCTGGAGCCAGTCCTGCAACTCAAAGTCACATCTAGTTTGTATGCATGCTCATTTCTCCCACACGTTCCCCCTGATGGGGGAGCCCCTCCCCAGGCAGGATCCGCGTGGACAGGGACACCCAGAATCTGCTCCTCACTCCCTTTCTGACCCGTTAAAGGGAAATACGGGCAGCCCGGCCGTCTTCACTATGCATCTGTGTAACATTAAGTATTAACTGCTCAAATTGTTATTATTTTAGGGAATGACCGTAAATTTCAAGCATTTACGAGGCTGCAAAAAACAAAACAAAAAAAACCCTTCCCTTCTGCTTAAACATGGTAATGGTCGTGAGTGTCCTGGAGAGGTCAACGTTTACAGAAGAGCTTAGGCAAGAAACGTGGTTAACGGTGTCATAAATAGTATTATAACTTTATTAAAATGGAAAGACAATATTCAAAATAATGCAACAAAAATGAATAAAATCCTTTGTCCAACACTGTACACATAATGCAGAAATCAGTGCATTTTTCTAAAGCATGTCTTAACCTTCATGTAGTTCATACTAAAATAGAAGCTTTAAATAGCTCAAATAATATTCAGCAGTTTGAACTGTAAACAGCTTGTTTAACTGTTAAGAGAACGTTGCAGTAATGCACCTCCGTTAGTCAGCACCTTGTCGTGCGTGCTTGTCTACACGACACACATCGAAGCACGCGGGCGTCGGAGCACAGGCTACGGGTCTCACCGAATCCAAGGGACACGGCGGCAGGCAGAGTCCCCGAGGCGGAATGACGCGGCCGGTGGCCCGTGGCCTTGACACACCGCGCTGCTGGGCAGAAGCGTTGTGCGCAGAAAGCAAACAGCCCCAAGAAATACTGAACGGGAACCAGCAACACAAGACCAGCTTGCGTTGTCCGTGTTCATTCACACAGTCCACAAAAACCAACACAGAAGCACAACACACGCCCCCCCGGGACTGTCACGGCAGCGGGTTCACCATGGCTCCCGTCGGACACCCTGAGCCCAGGCGACCGGTCTGCTGGTCCAGGGGAGTCTAAGGCGGCGGCCCCTGGGGCCGTGAGGCACACGCCAGACCAGGCCACCGTGGCAAGCAGGACAGAGCAGGGACCGTAAGGAAAAATGACGGATGAGTTCTGTTAGCTTCTCGCCTTTTGAGAAGCGGGGCATGAGCAGGTGCGCACATGGCTGCCGGGTGCGCCGCCGTCCTCCCCAGAGACCGAAAACAGAGCCCGGCCCGGAGGACCCGGGTGGTCGCGGGCCGCCTTTACACCGGGCAGGCTGGGCCTCAGCACGGACGTGCGTCCTGCCCTTGGGGACAAAGGCCGCTTGCAAAGTTTAAAGGAGAACATCACAGGCCCAGGAGCCTTGATGTTTCCAGGTTACTAAGCAAAAAAAAAAAAAAAAAAAATTTCTCTTTTTATGATTCTGATCTAAACAATACTGTGTTTTCTTCCATTTGCTCAATTTTCAGTTGGGAGCCGCCCCACCCCCGCCCCAGCTTTTACCATCTTGCCATTCTGAATATGTATTACTCTAAGGTAGCAACTAATTGGTTAACCTGCAGCTACGGTTTACAGGTACAGCACGAGTCTACACGGGCCTATAATGTATGCACATGTTGAAGGGGCCCCAGCCTCCCTCCGTGCCCGCACGCATGCCTTTCCATCACCGACCGCGCCGGACTTTTCTCCCCCGCCCCCGCAGTCAGGGATTCTAGGCCTGAGCCCGCCCCACGACCGCCCCCCCCTTTCCACGATGGGCGAGGGTTCCACTGTTCGCTTCTGCCATCCAACAACCTTCCCGTGAGCCTCCACCAGCCTGGAGAGCGGCTGGGGACCCATTCGCTCCTGTGGGGTCCCCACCGAACCGTGACCCCGAAGCCTAAGGGGAAACCACATAGGACAGGTGTTTTCGCCTCCCGTGGCCCCCCAGATCCAGCTTTGTCTTGGAGTCCAGCTTTTCCGTGGCTGAGGCCATCCTGCAGTCAGCAGACAGCGGCTGGGTCTGGGTGCCTGGGCTTGTCTCCTCTGCTTCTCGAAAAAACTTTTCGAATTTGTCCAGGTACGGCGGCCTCTCAGGTAGTAGGTAATAGTGTGTCGAGCTGACCTTCTTCCCATTTTCGATGATGGGCAGGATGCAAGGGGCCTTAGTGGCGGACCCCTCGCTGTTCTGTCTCTGCAGGGCTTTGCTGCTCACATACTTGGGGTCGGGGGCAAAGCTCTGCGTGGGGGGCATGACCCCATTGAGGTAAGACGGGAGGCTCTTGGGGCTGGGCGTGCGGGAGTTACTCCGCGACAGCGGTTCCCTGGGCGGCACCTTGGGAGGCCGGTCTTCGTCACTGTAGGTGCTGGAAGTCACCTCCGCCGACCACCTTCTGTAATCTGGCTTCGCGGGCCGGGGAGGTATGGGGACCCTGGGGGGCACCTCGGGTTTGTCTTCGTCGGAGTTTGGCGAAGCTCTCTGGATGTAGCTGGATATTCTGATGGCCGGCTTGTTGAAGGAGCCGGCCGGTCCCGAATGGGACCGTCTTAATCTGCGGTGGGCTTGAGGCGGAGGAAGATTCGAATTAGGCACAGCTCCATTCAGGTCGGGCGCCTGGCTGAGGTCTGCGGCGGAGACGGCCGGGGTATCGAAATACGCGTAGTTGATCTGTCCACACCCGCGGAAGCTTCGCCTGCCAGGAACGTCATATCTGAAGCCAGAGAGCGTACAGTCTTCTAGGAGGAAGTCCGTGTCCGAGCTGGTCAGGAACTCTACCTCGCAGTCTGTCTCATCCAGGGAGAGGTCTTCAGAGATGGGCAGTGGCGGGAGGGGCCGGGAACCCCGCTCACAGAGGGCTGTACAGGGAAAGGGGGACGGGGGGCTCTTGATGGGTGTGAGCGGAGGGGGAGAAGCACACCCCGCGTTCACCGAGAGTTTCCTAAAGCCACACGCGAGTCGCTCCTCTTCCCACTGTCCCGAGTGCTCGCCCGGGGGAATAATAAGAGGGGCCAAGCTGGGCTTCTGGGAAGGGCCGTTTTCGGCAAAGTGGCCGCCGCTCCTCGGCGCAGACGTCGTGGCGCGCCCTGGAAGGCACGAGAGAGAGGTTAATGAGCAAGCCCTCCTGGCCGCTTTCTGCAGGGGTATCAAGCACCTGGCGGCGGCAATCGTGAGGACACCCAGGCCACAGGCATAATTAGAGGCCAGAAGATTGCTAATGCACATGATCTGGTTCAAAGAACAAATTATCTCTTCTATCTTCCTCGGCCATGTGCACGGTACACACCCACACATCTCGGGCAGGTCTGGTGACGTGTGCAAAATTTGCAGAAGGGAGCAGCATATAATTTAGGTGAATACCACGCCACACCAGCCTAGCCATTTAAGAGATGCGACAATGTGAGGCACACAGGGCGTGATGGAGAGAAGGCCAGGTCCTCACTGCTGGCGCTGTCACGGCCTTAGGAGCGCGTGGACCTGCCTGCGATGTGCTAACCGCTCTCGACAGAAGTCTGAGGACCACAGCGTTCACGTCACAAGCACTGGACAGCAGAGAACAGCTTCCTAAGTTCTCGTCCACACGTACACCCCCGATCTGCCTCACACGGGCCTCCAGCACCAGTGGGGGAGGAGAGGGATCTGGGCCCATGTCTCCAAAAGGTAAATACAGAGCAGAGCCAGGCGCAGCACCCACTGATTGTGCACACAGGTGGCGGGGCATGGGTGGTGAGTCAGGGGGAAGGCGGGGTGGCCCAGGGCCCAACGCGGCTCTCTCAGAACCTGCTGCCACTAGGGGTCAGGCTACTGCCGGAAACAGTTCAGGTGGCTTCCTCACTTAAGTCACGCTGGGGGACACGCCAGTCCCATCCCCACCTCCACTGCCAACTTCCTCTGGAAGCCTCCGCCCCCTCCCCCGGGAGTTTGCCGGGGTGCGTACCGAGAGATGTGAGGTGCTCCTGGGCCGAAGAGTTGAGGCTGTAGGCCACGGTTATCGGGTCGATGTTCAAAAAGTGACTGAAAGGGAAGGAAAACACCTTGGTCGTGAGTGAGCAGCCATCACATTCTCGATCCTGTTTTCAAATCACAGGCTGAGACTCCGGGGCCGTCCTGTCCTTGCACTTACTTTTCGAACTCGCTGCGGCCGCCCCAGCAGCCCCTCCCGGTCCTCATGGCTTGGCCGTCGTGCAGAAACCCAGTTTTCAATGGGACTCGGATCTCCTGGGCAGCAACTCCTGCCGTGGACATGATGACTTTCTCCAGAGGCCTCCTCACTGGGGACGCCTGGGGGTCTGTCACCAACCAGCAGCTTGTGTTCCCTGGGGGGTGGCGGATAAAGAAGACCCGAGAGAATTAACAACTCCGCAATGCTCACAGCTAGCTCGTATCAGAGAATTTCGCGGGGTGCTGGGCAGAAAAGTTTTAGTTCTAGAAGTTCACTTAATTCCGATAGCTTTGCACGAGCTAGTTCTCACTTCCCGCGATGGTACTTAAAGGGAGACATTACGAACAATTTCGGGGGGGGGGACACTAATCAAAGCTTTGAACCGTTTTCAGCAAAGGGAGCGATAACGCATGGCGGGCAGCCGCGGCCGGACAGTCGCACGCCGCGCCGCGCTCACTCACCTCCCCCCCCCCCCGACCTTCCAGGGGGTGGAGGTCATGGCCGTGGCGCTCGCCGTCCCCGAGCCAACAAAGTAAGTGATCTCAGAAATCCCCGCGTTTGGTGCCGCAGCGCAAGCGTTCGCGACAACCCGGCGCTTCGACAGAACGAGGTCTCGCGGCGGCCCCAGTCACCCCCAGCCTGGCATCTGTCCGCTCGCTCTATTTCAGGCTTGGCCCCCGGAGGACAGATGCTCCGGTTACTGCCTGTTCAAGAATAAGTGAGGCGTTCCAGGGGATGACACTGATTTCCATTATTCTGTAAAAATCAAGTTCTGCAAGGCCACTGGCCTCGGAGGCCTGGACAGCTTCCGCCTCCCTCTAGAAAGACAAACTTAAAGGCACATTCTTCACATTCTTCTGTACCGAGTGCCTGCGGATTCGCGTCCTGCCTCGCTGCAAGGCAAGGATTAGAGACGCGAAGTAAAGCCCTTTTCTCCATCGAGTAGTGCCTCAGTGAGGGCCGTCGCCCTCGTCAGGTGTCCTGTGTCTGTGGTCCTCCAGGCCCCACGCCCTCTTTCTAGAAGCGCTCCTCAGCACCCATCTCGGCGTTCTTCAGCTTTTCATGTCTGCTTACAGTCAGTCGAGGCTTTTTTTCTTGTAGACACTAGGACACAATCTGTCAACTCTCTATGCGACACTGACCCCTTCTGGGACGTGCGCGGCCGCTGGGTAAGGCTTTCTCATTCCCTCACCAAGCACGTGCGCCCCAAGAGCTGGGTGGCCCGCCGAGGACTGGGGGTGACTCAGAGGAGCGACACATCCATGATGGGGGGGGGGAGGGGAGGATACAGGCCATTTTGTTTTGTTGTAAGGACAAATCTGTCACCCTCTAGACTGCAAGCGCAGGAAAGAGGCTGGGTCCCGACCATCACTGCCTGGAACATCGGAAGTGCTCAAGAAGTGAATGCTCGCTGGGCGAATTACTATCCGATTCCGTCCAATTTTTACCACTGTCAATATCCAATGTATACAGGGAATAAAGCAGTCTTTTTTTTCTTTTTTCTTTTTTTTTTAGCTGCAGAACTAAAAAATCCTCTGCAAGCATCTACTGTTTGTTTTTCATGCAAAGAGAAATGGAGAGCCGACAGAATGTTTCAGTGACAAAGTGCAGATGGGTCCTGGCTACTGGTCCTCAGCTTTTTACCCTCCTAGGGCCAGCTGCTCTGCTACATTAGGCAGAGACTTAAATAGGTTTCAAAGAGCCAACCATCCTTTTTCTGTGATCATCGCTCGGAGATACAGGATTAAGAACAGGGGAGAAAAACCCCACCATTGAAGAAATCTAAGTGACTGGCAGACCGTCTTTTGATTTTTCAGTTTTGGTCTTCAGAGGATTGAAATCAAACCCATGTGTTCTTACTTCACTTGGTTTAAGGAAATCTACCAAAAAAAATATGCGAAAACCCATTTTTAGAAAACGCTGCTTGGCGCTCCCTCGGGGCACCTGGCCTGGCGGTATGTGGCGTTCCCGGAGCGCCCAGCAAGCTCGGGCAAGACCACAGGGGAGGCATGCAGGCTGATGTAAAAAACGAAGGCCAGATAGGAAGAAGAATATGGTATTTAAGTAGTTCGAAAATGCTGCGGGGGTTTCTGCAGGCCCAGCCCCCACCTGTCTGCGGGCCAGCCCGTGCTCCCGTAATTACTGTGTGTCAGCCTCCTAATGCCATCTAAATCTCAGCTTTCAACAGAATGATTGTGTAACTATCGCCTCTGCTGGAATGGCCTCGGAATTCTAAATGCACAATTCAGGGGCCCCTTGAAATTTTGTATACGTTCTTGAAAGTTATTTTTTATTCATTGTGCCCATTGCCGACTTGTTAGCTTTCTTAAGCAAAAAATTTTTTTAGTATAAAAAGAATTGTGTTCACTAAGCCAGCTCACTTCTGACCACAATAGTGTCTTTGTGCATTCATGGAAGGTGACCTGACTCCACATCTCAATGGGGAATTGTGAATGGGACACGTTATGAAACTGTCCGGACTTCCTACTTGCTTGCTCGGAGAAGTGGGGAGGGAGACGCAGCTTCATGTTCTCTTTTGGAAAATAACTTCCCAACTGCTGACTCGGGAAGGGGGGCCTGCTGTAGGCTGGGGAGCAAGTGCATCCAGCGTGTCCCTGGGGACGCTGGCAGAGGCAGGAAGGCACCTGCAACTCTTCCACGCCTCTGCTAGAGCCCCCCAAGTCTCCCACGGGCACCAGAGCTCCCCAAGTCTTCCATAGGCGCCCCTCCGAGGAACAATCAGCCACGTCAACCTTGAGTCAAAAGGACCCACCACTGAGCCAGTGTTACACACCTTGTTTCTTCTGTGTGTGTCACACTAGGTCGACCTGACGATTGTTAGGAAAGCAACTGCAAAAATGCCCGTACGCGGGCAAATCCGAGTCTCTAAGCACGAGATGGCATTCTGTCCTGAAGCACACCCAGGCAGCGCGGTGTAGGACGGGCTCTGAATGACCTTGGGTGTAAGGACCTTCCTAAAATCCATGAACGAAGTCGGTCAAGTACCAATCCGAGATAGGAATGACTCTGTTAACATCATGTTTTTAAAAATTCAAGACAAAATGTAATAGCCCCTAAAACCCGGTTTCTCGCAGCAGCCCTTTCTCTCCCTGCAACCCCCTCCTCTACCCCCACCCCTTCAGTTTTGATCCCCGGCTACGGCTTCAACTCTAGAGACAGCTCCCCAATCTCCGGAACCTCGCCCCAGCCCCAGCTCTCGGGCTTCCACTTTGCATTTCCCATTGTCTGCTGATTATCTTTCCACTTGGACGGTCCTCTGGCATCTGTAACTCTACAGACCCAAGTCCTGTCACTTACTTCACACCCCATCCCCCTTCCCCAACCAGTTTAGGGTCGGTGAGGATCATCGGAGGATCAGGCTCCTACAGGCACCACTTTTAACCTGAGTTACAACAGATCTCCATTCAACTACCAAGTTCCACAGCCTGTTTCCCAAACCCGTCTTCCCTCCATTCACTGGTACCGCTCGGCCCTGCGTGTGAAAACGCATCCTACGCACCAGGACCAGATCAATATCCCCGAACCAGAGCTCAAATTCACGTCTTCCACTGCTCAAAAAACTCCAAAGGCTTCTAAATAAAAGCTCTTCAGGTTAAGGCCTCTAAAACAAGGCCGACTCTGACCCACCTTTTCCAAGCTCTGGCTTCTCTCTTCCCCAAATCTCTGTTAGAATTCACCTTGTCCTTGGAGGCCATCTGTCACACCATCTTCTCCATTCACCCGTTCCCTTCTGAAAAGCCACAGCAGGGTCTCTGTATTCTTGAGTTATTTCGTGCCATGTCCTGACTCCTTGCTCATCCTCCAAATCTTTTGGGACTTTCTCCCTCCCTCCTGAGTAGATCCTGGCGTCATTTCTAATACATATTTCCTGAATCGATATAAAGTATTCGCCTCGTTTTTAGAAAAGTAATGACAGGACAGATTCATGTTTACTGTAAATCAGTCAAGAACTGAGAGAGAAACCTCCCCATAATAATGATAATAATGTAACAGGCTCAGGGAAGTAGGAGGCAAGGAATTTTCATTAAATTCGTTTCCAAAATCTGAAGTGGACCATTTGCAGACTGGGTAAAACTGGAAGCTCGCGTGGTTAACAATGTAACTTTCTAAATTGGTTTCTGTTACGCATATTTACCGAAGCAACTGGGGAAGAGCTTTCTGAACATAATGGGTTTCACCTTCTCTCCCACACTCTTGCTTTTTGCACCTACTGTTTTTGTTGCTAAATTTAAGGTCACTTTCCTTGAAGAAAACAAAACAAAAAAGGCTTCACCACAAAGCACACGTACAAGCTTTCTTAAGGTGAAATCACAAGCCTTTAGCTTGAGGGAAGTCACTTTGAAGACTTTTTTTTTTTTTTTTTTTACACCAGGCTACCTTAAGAGGGTAACCTAGATGTGTTTACCTTGCCACCAGATCTCATTAATAAATCTCAGGAGCAATCCACCGGAGGGGGAGGGGCACATTTTTGTCATACAACTCACCCAGTTCTGCCCAGTGCTTCCTTATTTAAAAGTGTGATGTAATTTCCTTCTTTCAATCTGGTTTTAGAACCTGATTTCTGTTTATTCAGGGTGATAAATGGTCTTTTCAACCTTATTTAACAACTACCTACACGACTGTTTCCTTACGGAGGGAGATAGAAGATAATCAATCCTACTTAGAGCCAAAACTTTGTAGAAAGAAACCGATTTTGGAGCATGACAAATTCCATGATTTCAGATAAGCCAACCAAATAGACCAATATCTGCGTGTTTATCTTCAGTCTGAAAATGCCTAAAACAGTCATCTTTCAGAACATGAAAAACAAAGCAAAATCCCATCATTTTTATGGTGATCAGTGTCTCGAGCTACTGGACACACGGAACATTTAGTTTAGCTGTTTTACAGAATTGTGGCTTTTATTAACAATATAGGAAACGTACTGATTTAATATACATCGAACACACTTGGTGTTTATGACCGTTATGGTGCTGTGTGCTCTGAGTTGACTTACTGAGCAAAGGACTCTTCACAGTCAAAGGCCCTGATTCAGGCTTTTTCTCAGATTTCCCTTTAACAGACTCTGATTTGGGCAAGGGGGGGGGGAAGGGGGAGGCTCAGGAGTTTCCTTCGTGGCACCCTGCTGCTACAGAAAGCATAAATGGCCTTCATATTAGAAGCACAGAGAACTTAAGATCTTTTTATATTGTTAATACATAAAATGTAATTAAAATGCTCCTGCGTGAATTCTAGGTAAACCTGCGCAGGGGCGGGGACGGAGAGACCGCTCTAGGTGGTGAGGACGGACACTGTCCCTGCAGCTCCAATCCTCACCTCCCTCCAGGACGACCTGCTTGTAGGTGATACAAACTGAGGCAACAAGGCAAATAATTTATCCACAGACTGTTGAAATCAAAGCTAAGTGACCTAATTTCTGGAATAATTCAGAGTGTTTTCTAGCTGAGTATTTTAAGAAATGGCAAACTAACAAAAAACCTATTCGTTCCATTGCTGTAGTCGTCAATAGCCTTTTGATTCCTCAGTGTCCTACACAATCTTCGTGCAATGACACAAATGTACGAGACCGGGGATACACGTCTCTTGTCCTTTGTAACCCTCCCTACATAGTGCCCTGCCCCGACCAGCAGCGACACACGTGCACGCACACACACACATCACGTGCACGCGCACAGGATGGGAAAATATTATTCCTTTTAGATGTACACATAATAGATTTCCAAATGGAAAAAGATACGTGAGTTCTATTCTAATCTTAATGACAATGAGCACGATAGTCTAATGATGGGAAAGGAGTCTTTAAAACTTTAAATTTACTTAATGAGCACCAGAGTCACCCAATGGGTGACTCCAGATTGTTACAATGAACATAAAGCCAGTAAGAATAATAAACTTATCTGACAGGCATTGTTCTAGGCGGTTTATATGTATAACTTATTTAATCCTCTCAACAACCCTGTGGGGCAGGTTACTGTTATTACCCTCATTTACAGATGAGGGGCTGGAGGCCAGTGGAGTTAAGTAACTTGCTCCAGGTCAGAGCTGAGACCTAAGCCAGGCTGTCACCACACCACCCCCAGCCTCCAAGCCCCTCGGGCTCTTCAACTGGGAATAAGATCTGACCCACCACCAGGCTCCAGTTAAGGGTGGCTCAGACAGACCTTCCTGGGGATTTGCTGCTGGGTAATAGTTTTTCTTGGGTAACCCGCAGGCTATGAAAGTTCCCGTTTGACTTCACCTCCCTCAAATTCTCCTTTGAAACTTCTTAACTGCAGATTTGGCCCATGTATCCTCTGGAAGGGTAGGTTAAGGTATCAATTTTATATTCTGTGACCACTTCAAGCAATTCTTTTGAAGCCCTCAAGCTTTAATGATACACTGATGCCCATTACAGAGCCCGTTACAACATGACATTTGGTACCACACGGGTCTGTCTTTACCCATACCAAAGAGATACCACATATACCCAATGGGCCTCCTTTTAACATACTCTCTCGGCAGGGATCCCAGCGATGCCATTATAATCCGGCTCTATCTTAAAGTCTGGAATTTAATAATGGAATATCTTGCATTTGTAAAGCATGCTACAAATTACACAGCACTTTCTGACACATGATCTCACCTGATCCTCACAACATCCCTGGAAGAGGAGGCAGGGATGACATTCTGCGGATGAGGAAGTGAAAACATCTTCCCGTTCGCACAAGGGCCATCGCGGCTCTTCTGCCGTATAATCCAGCACTTCCTGAGCTACTTCCAGGCCTCTCCTCTCCTCTCCATGGCATCTTCCTTTTAGCTAACAACCTTCCGTCAGTAGGGAAACTGACGCAGGGATGGCTAAGTGAAATGTACCAGACCTAATGGCAAGTTCATCTGCAGAGATCAGGACTCCGCTCACAGGGTTTCACTCACAAATTCTTAGAAGGCAAGGATGAGTTGTTTTCACGAGTCGTTATCAGATGCTTGTTCTGGAGTAGACACTGTGCTAGTGGAGGAGACAGGGCTGCTGCCCGAGGAAGTCTCAATCTAATGAGGAGACAGCCAGCCAGCAAGCAATTTCCGACTGTGGTCACTTCCAAGGGAGGATCAGGAAGGGAGGCCGAATGTACGCAGGCAACTGGGGAAGACCTCTCTGAGGTGACTTTTTAAATTGGAATTTAAGGATGAAAAAGAGGCAGCCGTGAGAGGAGTCAGAGGAACATTCGACGCAGAGGGAAGGATATTTCAAATAATCTCTAGCTGGGCAATTTCATATTCTGTGGATCTTCAATAAAAGCTTCGGCCAGTGTCTTCTCATCCTTACCATCCCACTGCTTCCTCTGCACAGTTTAACCGTGGCACTCTGGAGTGGAGAAGGACTAAAACTCACACAGCCAGAGCCCCGTGCTTGACAAATATACTCACTGAGGCCTGGAACGTTGGTCTTTTAGTAATACTGCCCAATTTCTCCGTACATGGAACTTGATTAAAGTATCAACAACGGACTCCAAATTGCAGAATCCCTTTCCCTTCTGAAATCTAAATGCCACACGAACTTTTCCCCACCTTAAAGCAGATTTCTCTATTATGCTAGTAGCTGACATTCGGAACTCTGAAACTCACCGGTTTTATCCACCTTCACAACACATGCATTGATGCTGTGTGGATAATGCCGGAAAAGCCACAACTGGATCTTGTTTATCTAGTGATCTAGGGAGTTATTCATTAGCTCGTACAAAGCACGGCCAAACACCAGCACCAAAAGATGCGAAAGGAATCCTGATGATGAGGTTCCAATTCAGATTTATTTAGATTAAAAGCAGAGCTGTTTCTCTGGTAGAGGCAGCTGATGACATTCAAATTCCTGGAATTACCCTTGGCACCACCTTCCCCTCCTCTGCTCACCTTTCTAAAGCAACCTGATGGTATGTAGACATTCAGGTCAGTTTCAAGCATGTTAGATTGTACCTGTAATTTAGGCAACTTGCTTTTAAAAGCTACGAGGAGTATTAGCTGAAAGGGAGTATTATCTGGTTCAGCTTCTGAGAAGCAGCAGTTAGGAGTTGTTTTCACACAAAAACTCAAGTCTACAGCGTAATTAAATCTCACCGCAAGAGTGACCAGTGCCTCTTGTGAGCTGAGAGGACCTAAAACAATTCACTGAAACAGTAATTTTACCTATCTGTTGAAAATATGAATAATTCAGACATTTCATAATAGCCATAAAAAGATTTGCTTTCCACCCTTATCTGTGACTGGTCCAATCCTGCTGAGCTTTAAGATGTAAAATGTGCTTTCATGCAATTAGTTATCAACCATCAACTACGTGCAAGGCTGCGTCAGATAGAAGCCGTACAAGGACGAGTTCCTGCCCTGAAGGAGTTTACAATCTAATATATGTTAGGTTATAAATGGTTCGTCCGGGACCTCTAGCACCAATTAACCAGCACCCACTGAAGCACACAGGTGAAAAGACACTGGTGCAAAATGAAGAGCAGGACAAAACGGTGTCTGAAGTCCAGGCTGAATGAAGTGTGTACGTATTTCCCCTCCACTCTAATACCTGGAGAAGACGGCAGTGTGTTACTTGATAACGTACTGCTAACCAATCACAGCACAGTGAACAAGAAACCAACTTTTATTCTGTCTCAGCAAAACTTGGTCATTCTGTGAAATGGGTACCTGGTCTCCTCGCTTTGGTCTGTTTAAGTAAAACCTCGCTTAAAGCTATAATTACGGGGGGAGGGGAGGTGGAGGAGGGGGGAAAAAAAAGCAAGACTTGGTATGGTGGACTTAGCTCGGTATCCTCAACAAACACACCCTCTGCATTTTTACACATTGATAAAAGTCGAAAACTGTGCAGAACACTATGAAGGAAAAGGACAAGAAGAAAGGAGGAGGAGGAAGAAAAAGAAGAAGAAGAAGAAGAAGGCATTTTAACCTCACCTTTCTTCGCCTGACAGTTGCTTAGAAACCAGTCCGGCCCTACCTGTGCGGCAGGTGTACCTCAAGTCACCAACACATCTCTTTTAAAGCTACAGTCTATTCTGACTGCCCTTGAGTTTATGACTAACAATCTATTCATATTTTTTTTTTTATCAGGGAAGAGACTGGTTCCTTTCAAGCAATGACGAAATCCTAATAAAGACCTCGCAAGCACCACTACAGCACCAATCATGGTTAAGAAGTCATCTAATTTGTACAAGGCTGTGATACACACCCACCCACCCACCCACCGAGCAGTCACGTCCCGAACCCAGGACCCTGCACCCCCGCGCCCCCCCCAATTCCTTCGGAAGCAGTGTCTGGGACGCTCAGAGCAAAGGACCACGATTCTGAGACAGGCGGAAGGGGGCTCGGAGCTGCTCGGCGGGCTTGAAGGACCCCGGCCGGGGACGACCGCCGCCGCCGTCGCCAAAGAGCCCGAGCAGGGGCACCGCGGGGCCGCCCGTCCCCCCGCGCAGCCTCCGGGGCGCGACGGACGGGCACACGGCGCGCGCGGGGGTAGCGCAGCCCCATTGTGGCAGGAGGGAGGCCGCCGACCGCCGCTCCCGCAGCCCCGGCCCCCACGCAGCGGCCCCCTCCCCCTGCCCCGGGCCCCTCCCCCCGGCCGGCCGTCGGTCCCGGCGAGACTCCGCGTCGCGGCGACCCACTCGGCGCCCTGGGGACCCGCCCCGCGCCCGCAGCCGCCCGCAGCGCTGCGCGGGGGCCCGGCGGGGCGGGGGCGCGGGGCGGCGCCGCCCCCCCTCCCCACCCCCAGCCCGCAGGCCCCTTACCCCCGCGGAGCCGCGGCTGCCCCACGGCGCCCTCCCGCGCATGTCCGTCCCGGCTGGCTCAGCGCCGCGGGCTCAGGGGCCCGGACACCGCGCAGGCGCCTCGCCGCTCGCCGGCCGCCGCTTCCCCGCTCGCGCTCCCCGCTCGCACTCGGCCGCCGTCGGCGCGGCTGCCGACGCCGCGTTATATAGCAGAGCGGCGGGGCCGTGACGTCGACGCTCGGCCGCCCCACCTCCCCCGCGCAGCCGGGCCGCGCGCCGCTTAAAGGGGCGATGCCGCGGCTCAGGCGCGGGCTCGGGGTCCACCGGCGTCGCGCGGCCCGGCGGGGATGCCGCCTTTGTCTCCGAGGGGGAAGTTTCTGGGCCTCGGAGGTCTCCGCGCCTCTGCTCTGCCCAATCGGAGCGGCAGCCGCCGGGCCTCTCCGTGCGTCCCCTCCGCCCCGGAATCCTGACCTCGAACTTCTCTCTCCAGTGTGCGGGCAGCTCGGCCTCGGCCCGCGTTCCGCCCAGACCGCCGGCGGCGCCGCGCCTCGAGCGGGGGTTCCCGTCGCTTCCTGCCCCGGGGACGGTTTGGCGGGTGTCCCCCTGTCCGCGGGGTGACAGGGTGGCCGCAGACTCCCGCTAAGGGCAACACGAGAGGAGCCTCCGCGAGCCTCCGGGAGGCCCGTGCGCACCTTGAGGCCCGCGGGCGGACGGGTCGGAGGGACAGCAAGGGACGGTGTGGACCGAGTGGGACAGCGAGGGGCCGTCTGGGACAGAGTTGCATACTGTGGGGCCGAGTGGCTCAGCCCAGGGGCCGGGGGAGGCAGGGAGGGCACCCTGGTGATGGCCCTCCATGGGACCTCTGAACGCGGGTCTGCCCAGCCACCTCCCCTCTGACCACATGTTTGAAAATCAAGGCCAGGCCGTGGTGGCAGTTGACCCGTGGCTTCCATAAGGAGCCCCCCACCCCCACCTCTCCAGCCCCAACCTGGCCTCTCCTTCAGTCTCCAGTCTTGTGTTTACTTATTAGACCCGCGCCGCCCTCAGCATCTCTGGGCATCGGGGTAGCCGGTGATGCCCAGGGACAAAACGCCAGCAAGCCAGCAAGCCTGCGGGAGGAGGCTTCCCCTCTGGAAGGTGATGCAACTTAGGCTTATAGTTTAACCGAAAAATAAATAATACAAATGATAACAAAGCACGAGTAACTAAAGGGAGAAAAAAAGCAAACAGACAGAAACCCTCCAGTTTTAACTAGAACAATCCCCTGAATGGTACTCTCTCTCAAGTAGAGGCCACAGACCTCCGGCTGACCTCCTGGGACTTGAAGAGTCCCTTCTTGGTTTCAGCAACGGTGCTGGAGACGTGCACATTTAACACTGCCTAATTGGGGTAGTTTAACACATAGAACGAGATTCTGACCTCATTACCAGGTTAACTATTAACTTACGCACTCCATGAAATGATTTGCCTTTTCCCCTCTATTATTTACTTACATTCTTTTAAATTTAATTCAAAGGCCTAATTTTGAATTCAAGGGCTTAAACACACACACACACACACACACACACACACACACATCTGAAGTATCCCTTTGCCCTCTTTCAGCTGCAAGATAAACACATGTTTAGCAGAGAGCTCTCCTCTCCTTTCTGATGGTTTTTTTCTGGTCTGTAGGGGCCTCTTGGGTCATAAGTCATGTCAACCACCTTAGGGTCTTATTGCCATTCATTCATTTAGTTATTATTTTAGGATGATGGAAGTTAGTTACAACTGCTTTCTGGTTTTCTCAACCAGATTAGTTTTTTTGACTTGCGGACACTCCAGACTGTTTTCCCCATTTTGGTTTCATTTATGTTTAAGACTTACCCATATGCTGTTATCAGGGTACAAGAAGAACTAGCCTGAGAACTTGCCAGAGAACATCTTTTCAGACCTCACGGTGCAGCATTTACCGAATGGGGACCTAGATGAACTCAAGTTTCGTGCGAAAGGAACCCTCGTTACGCTACTTCAAGCCGCTACAATACAGTTATAATTTGTGCTTTGCCCTTATTGGCATGCTTTTACGTCCCCCTTTTCATTAGCAGTGATAATTACCAGAGCAACCATCAAACACACCCCTTCCTTAGAGAAAGAACATCAAGGGATACTCACTGTATGGTTGTGAACTGTATGGTGTCCCATTTTGGTACACTGTCAAAAATCATAAGATCACAAGAGTATAACATATGAGTAATCCATTCTTTTCTTCCAGTCTATTTTTTAAAGCTTATTTATTTTGAGAGAGAGATTGAGGGAGAGAGAAAGCATGAGCAGAGGAGGGGCAGAGAGAAGGAGAGACAGAATCCCAAGCAGGCCTCGAGCCATTAGCCAAGAGCGCAATGCAGGGCCTGAACTCACTCACTGTGAGATCATGACCTGAGCCGAGATCAAGAATCGGATGCTTAACTGACAGAGCCACCCAGGAGCCCCTCTTCCAACCTATTTTAAACCAGCAAAATAAACATCTATTGATCTATTCATTTTGGGGGGAAAACTGTTATAGTTGATAGCTCACTGAATTTGGCTTACAGTTATGTTCATGTAATATCGCTCTCTCAGCTGTGGCTGAATTATGCAAGGAGACTTACACCCCACAAATCTTTCATCTAATAGTCTATTGGTGATATTTTGTAATAACATTGCCCTGTCAATGATATTGTATTTAAGGAAGAGTTTTAAAGGAAGGTGCTAAGCAGGTTGCAATAATATTAGCATATTGTGTTTATCAAGTCGTCATTCATTGGTTTTTAACAGATTAGAACACTAGACTGGAGGTTTGGGGGAAAATATCCTCTTTGTACTGAACGTAACTTGTTTTAAACTGTTTCCAGGAAGAGAGAAACTTAAAGTCAGACTTTTTCTTGCATCTCTCACAGTCCTTTTAATTTTGAAGCACTTCCCAAGGAATTTATGTTAGCTGGTTATTTTTTAATACAAAAAACCGAAACATAACATCTAAAATGTTAGACTTACGTCACATTGACCCAAATCGTCCCTTTGCACTTGGCCATTTCTCAGTGTAAGAAGAAGCTGTCCTTGGAGTGGGAACAAGGGGAAAGTTCTGGCTCAGAAACTGGAGAATCACAGACACTGCTTTTCTGAAGACATTGTCCCTTTCTCTCCTGTCCAGCAACACTGATGCTGGACAGGGGCCTTCCCACCCTTCCAAACTGATGTTTGAATATTATCGAATCCTACAGAAGAGGATGCACATTTTGGTGTTTTTCTCCTTGATTATAGGTGGCTTTGTCTTAACCGTAGAAATGGTTAAGTGTTTTAAAGTGAGACACTTTCTGAATTACCCTTTAAGTTCTTCTAGAGCGTTTACTTTTGTCTATTCATGATATAAACATGAGCCTGCACTTTCCTTTTTTTTTTTTTTTTTACTAATTTATGGCCGAGTGTGCAATAAAAAATACATGACAATGGAAAACTTGCATTTCTTATAGGTCATTCATTAGTACGCCTCTTTATGATTTGGAGACATCTGGGCACAGATATATATTTATATATCCAATAAACTTGGTGGATTACTATACAACATCCATGCTGAGAAGGGCCGAGATTCATTCACAAAGGGTCCCACAGCACAGTGGAAGTCTCCTCTGAGCTTTCAACTGTAGCAGCCATTTGAAAAGTTGCACAGGAAAAGACTTGTGTACAATTTCCATGTTTTCCCTTCTGTAGTTAAGGATATTCCTCTCCCTTCTTAGCTTTTCCCCTAAAAGAAAAAAAGAAAGAAAAGAAAAAAAAAATATGTGCAGTATATGCAGACCATGTGAAGACTGCGCTGGCTTTTTTTAATGTTTATATTGGGGGCAGAGGAGCAGAGAGAGAGAGAGAGAGAGGGAGGGAGGGAGGGAGGGAGTCTCAAGCAGGCTCTGTATGTCAGGGCAGAACCCAACGTGGGGGCTCGAACTCAGGAACCGTGAGATCATGACCTGAGAAATCAACAGTTGGATGCTTACCTGACTGAGCGAGCCTTCCAGGCGTCCCATAAACAGACTGGTTTTAATTATTTAAGTGTCAGCGCCACTACCTTCGTAGTAAGGATAGTTGTTTATATTTAAATACAGCCACTTTTCATTTACCTAATTCTCTCTTAAGAAACATTTGATGCTATTGGTGATCATTGTATTTCTTGTTCTAGTCCATTTCTGGAACTTATGGCTATTAGAAACCTTTCAGTGTCCTTGTATTACATTAATTGAATATGTGGATGTTTGCAAGACAATGCTTTTCAGGTTTCTTTGAAACGTGAATCTGACTTTATCTTCAAATCTTAACATTACATTGTCCCCCCCAAGCAAATGCTGCATTTCCTATTAGCTGGCCAGTAGGGTGTGCTCTAGTCCCTTGCCAGATAAATAAATTAATAAATTAATAGATTAAAAATAAATTAATTAAAAATATTAATGTAAACTCTTCATTAAGAGATTTCAGAAATATACTTCACTCCTTCATGGGCGCCAACAGAGATCAGGTATGTGGATATCAGAGAGCCAAACTGTTACATTAAAAAAAAAAGACAATTTTGAGATGTGACTCCTTTGGAATTACTTCTGAAATGACTTGCTATTATTTTACCGAATGGATTCCCCGCCCCCCCCCCCCCCCCCGCCACCGCAACAGATAGCTGCTTTTATTCTGTGTAAAATGAGAATTTAAAAAGTCTGGGGTAGATGAACAACGAAGGCTCTGGGCTTACATCCTAACTATCTCACCAGTGACTCAAGTGCTCACTTGGCCTTCTCTAAGATGGTGATAATCGTGGTTTCTACTCCATGGGGTTCCTGGCCAGATAAATGAGATTGTACTTGGGAAGTGTTTAGAACATAGCCCGGCCCCAGTCAGGATTCAATAACAATAGCTGTCCTTTTTTTTTTTTTTTTTTTTAAATCATTATGTCTATTCTCATTGTTGTTGCCGTTAATACATTTGTACGGATTTTTGAACACCTTTTATTGCAAGACTCCAAAATTCTCTATTGCTTAATAAGCATACACAATTTAATTTGTCTGGGAGGTTGTTTCATTTGTCAAATTCCAGGAGCATAAGTGATTTATAAGATAAAATGTCTTATTTTCCTGTAGTATTTCCACTTAAGAGGCAATAAAGCCTTAAGCCAAAGAG